TTCAGGAGCAGATAGGACAGTGCTCCAGAGGGTCAATGTCATTGCCCAGAGGGTCATTGGTTGCCCTCTCCCCCCTTTGGAAGAGCTTTTTAGCTCCCACTGCCTTAAGAAAGTTCAAAATGTTCTTGGCACCCTTTTTTTGAACTATTACCATCTGGCAGATGGTACAGGATAATAAAAACAAGGAGAAATAGGCTGAAAAACAGCTTCTATCCCAGAGCAGTACCTATATTGAATTCTATTGTATAGTGCAATATCAGGCTTTCAATTTCAATTATATAGAATGTAAAGGATGTATGTTTATGTTTTTATTTTTATAGTTATAATGTACACTGAAGACGGCATTTAATTTCATTGTACCATGTACAATGACAATAGAGTAAACAACTAACTAACTAGTTCACTGTCTTGAGTTGCATGAAATAAAAGCAGGATGTAAATTAATAAATGACATTAGTTCCACCTCCCAGTATGTCTAACCCATAGTGGTATACTGGTATTTAATGGTCTTATTGCAAGCTGGTTACTTACTGTCCTTTCTCTTTATTAAGGGATCAATACAATTAGTCGTTTGCATTATCACAGGAAATAAAGATGATTTGTACAGGGCCATTAAAAGGCTGTGCAACGTACATAATCCGGTTCCTTCCCAGGTACGCCAAATAGTTGTCTCTTGAGCCTGTAAAAATGCTTGAATTACTGATGGTGATATTACTTGTTTGATCACCTGCCTTTTTATGAAGAGCCTCCGAAGTGTCTTTGAGGCCCAACATGAGGTGTAACAGGAAACAGTTTATACTGTTTATATATACATAGTTCGTATATGAGCTTTGGACAGTTTTGTGTTCTAGTGATTTAGAGTTTTATGATGTTCAGATATTAGTCAATGTTTAGTAACGAATGTCAACAATGTTTAGCTTTTCATTGCGAATTGAGAATTCAATAATTTAATAAACGGATCCTTAAAATCAGATTTTTAAAAACATGTAAATATGGAGAAAACCTGGTTAAACCCTATATTTTTAATAACTTAAAGGTGTTATATTCGGAAATATGTTAAATATTTTTTGTTGAATGGTGGCTTAATTTTTTGTAAGGGGGGGGAAACGGTGCTTACTTTAAGCAATAATAACCTCTTATTGCCTTGTAAATATATTAAAACTCACAGCTTGTAATTAGATGTGAAAAATATGAAATTTTAACAATTTTGATTTTTGAAAGGGCTGTTTCTAACATAAGAAATATTTAAATGCCCTTCTGATTTTAGTGGAAGTGTTTCACGTTTTGAAGTTAGAACCCTTCTGATGAAGTTAGGAAAGGGTACTCCTGATGAAATTAAGCTCGAAGTAGAATGGCTTAAAATATATTTTATGCAATAATCAAACTGAGAATTGTTGAAAGAGAAACATTTGTTTCTTGTCCAGGCATTTATTAATTCCAATCATTAATTGCTACAGGTTATTAATGTTCGAACCATTACAACACAGTATACTAAACTTAGAAGTATAGCCCAGAAGATTCTGTTGCAAATTAATTGCAAGTTAGGTGGAGAGCTGTGGGGTGTGGACATTCCATTGGTAAGTAATACTGACATTATTTCTCTTCAGTGAAGCTTAATTCAGTAAGAATAATAATTCTCTAAAATAATGTTGCACATTTTATGTATGAATACTTGTGTTCTTTACGTGGCACTATTAATATCCATCTTTCTCAGTTCCTTTCACTTCTCTAGACATCCCCCTTCACTTAATTATAACCTGCTGAAAGTTGGGAGCCTTGAAAAGAATATGTCAGGTGGAGAACAGTGGTCAGGGTCATTTCTGTCCTCTTACAGTTTGCTTGGATAAGATGCTTTTTCAAAAAGAGACAAGTGAAGATGTACAAAACATCCCGCCAAAGAATTCAACTGATATGCTTAAAACACATTACCATATTTTTCGGAGTATAAGACACACTTTTCCCCCATAAAAGATGAAAATTTGGCTGCATCTTATACATCGAATGTACCCCACCCAGCCGCCGACCCCCACCCTTCAGCCTTCACGTTTTATACCTGGTCCAGGCTGCAGGGTTTGCCACAGACCATTGCTTCCTTTGTGGCTTCTGCTTTTGGCCTCTGCACGTTGTGTTTTCAGCCTCTGAACGCTCTGTTTGAGACCTGTTGAAGGCTGCGGGGATCACCAGAGTACATTGCTGCTGATCGCCACCTCCGCGTATCACATTTTCAACCTATCTGTGTTACGTTTTCTAGTGGCGAGGTGCTTTGGCAATCCCTGCAGCTTTGAACAGGTCTCAAATGGAGTGTTTGGAGCTGAAAACGTGGCAACCCAGAACAGCTGCTGCTTTGTCTGACCACATCTGCATTTCGCCTGCTTTACTTACTGGAGTTCCCTGCAACGAGCAGCCCCAACGAAGCCCACATGTGCGAACACAACCTGCAAACTAATGTGCTGAAGCTGACCAGGCTATTTGCTAAGGACACTAGCCAGATGAATACCGATAGATGCTGGTAGGCAGAGGGAGTTTTTTTTCCTTATTTTCCTCCCCCAAAATTAAGGTGCGTCTTATACTCTGAAAATACGGTAATATTAGCCTTAATCCTATCATCCACTACTATTTAAGAACAATTATTTACGAATCAAGAATGACCCCCCCAATGGCAACAGTTGCCACATTTCTAATGAGAGCATCAACCAGAAGCAGAGATCCATGCTAGCCAGTTTAAGATTAAAGTTATGGAGGTTTGAGGATGTAACAACAATGGAGTCAGGTAGAGCATTCCAGGCATTGACCATTCTGTTGCTGAAATCATATTTTCTGCAATCAGGTTTGGAGCGAGTTACCTTAAGTTTGTATCTATTGTTTGCTCGTATATTATTGCGTTTGAAGCTGAAGTAGTCATTGACAGGTAGGATGTTGTAACTGTCAGAGTTTTGGTAACGTGACTATTATTATGAGATAAACCCAGGAGCAAAACTCAGCACGCAGAACACAGAGCCTTTAGACAATTAATAGTGGTTTATATATACATAAATACAGACAAACACATGGTAGATAAATTCCTTACCACTCAGCTCGGACACAAGGAGAGAAATGAGATACACAACAAGAGAGAGGGATGCCCTGTAATGACAACCTATATATAGACACCTCTTTAAAAAGTAAATGACTTGTGTGGACCCTACCAGAGACTTAAAGAGGCGATACCATATATTGCTGAATCATCCTCATTGCATCAGCTTACAGTTTACAGTGTACAACCTTACATCAGCTGGCAGCTATTAAATCCTCATTACCTGACAATAGCAGACAATTTTATGTACTATGCTTAGGTCAGACCTTAGGCGGCGTAGTTCTAGGTTGTCCAAGCCCCAAATTTCAAGACTGGTGACATAAGGTATTCCATTGTGAGCAGAGGAGTGGAGGACTCTTCTGGTGAAATACCTCTGGACTCCCTCAATTGTGTTAATGTCCAATATGCAGTGTGGATTCCAGGCAGATGTCTAAGTCTATTATTGCTATTACAGAAGAGAGCTTTCTCTTGGAATGTGAAAAGTAGAAATGCTACTGTTTTTGGCAGTGTTTGCTGCCTGAAGTGCTTATACTTAAGAAAATGGATAACACATTAATGTATTTGAATAGAGAGAAAGTTATTTATCATGTTTTGTTGTTAAACATACCAAAAATGTCAGCTGTGAAAATATCTTGTCATGGTCCTTTTATGGAAGGTGATAAGAAAAGGGAGACGCACTCTTACTGTAGTCATCATGAGTCAAGATTAACCTGAATTATTGGCTGAGCCACGAGGAAACTCCCATGCTATTAAGACAAGTGCCCAGTATTGTGCAGAGACCAGGGCCCCAAAAGTAGTGAAGTAGGAGAGGGATTGCTGTTTTGCAGGCCTCTATTGAGGTTAGAAATGACAGTCCAGCTTGCTTGCTTACTGTTTTCCCTCCCGTATTCTCAAGTTGGATGCACAAGAGGGAGCTATTATCCAGGTCATGGTTGCCCCAAAGGTGCTTTTTCAAGAGGCAGTTGGACTTTGTTTTTCCCCCCTTGAAAATGTTTCACTTCTCATCCAAGAACTGAAGAATCTTCTTGGATGAGAAGCAAAATCTTTTGAAGGCGGGGGGTGGGGTGTCAAATAAAGTCCAATTGCCTTTTGAAAAAGCACTCTTATGTTTAATGGTTAGAATACCAGACTTAGAGACCAGGAGACTCTTGAGTTCTAATCCTACCTTAGACACAAAAGCCAGCTGGGTGACTTTGGACAGGTCCCTCTGACTCAGCCCAATTTACATCGCAGGGTTGTTGTGGGGAAAGTAGAAAAAAGGAGAGTGAGTTATGTCCATTGCCTTGAGTTGTTCATAAAAATAAATAAATGCAGGTGTAAATAAAACAAACGGGCAGGAAACCTTTAAGCACACCCGTTTGTCTGCCTATCTAGCTGGATATCCCTTGCAGATGTGCATGTGGGGAGTAACGCCTTGTTCTTCCTTCCAGAAACAGCTGATGGTAATTGGCATAGACGTGTATCATGATCCCAGCAGGGGGAAGCGCTCAGTTGTGGGCTTTGTGGCAAGTATCAATCCGTAAGTGTCCTCTTTTTAAAAAAAAAAAACAAAAAACACCTTTAACACAGGAAAAGAACTACAGGCCTATATCATTATTAAATGTATATAAAATATTTGCACCAATAATAGCAGAAAGATTAAAATGATTCTTGAATAAATATATCTATCCAGGCCAAAATGGATTCTTAACCAAAAGACAAATTAAAAACAATGTTAAGATTTATTCTAGATATGCTGGACTACTATAAAGTGCACTCTGAAAACTTTTTGGCATTCAGATCTATGGGTCTGTTCTAGGGCTGGGGCCCTTGCTTGAGTTCACATAGAATGGCTGAATGGCTGTGGAGATTCTCAGTCATCCAGGTCATGGTTGCCCCAAAGGTGCTTTTTCAGGAGACAACTGGGCTTTCTTGTTCTTCTTTTGAAGATGTTTCGCTTTTCATCCAAGAAGCTTCTTCAGCTCTGACTGGATGGTGGGGAATGGAAGGATTTATATCCCTTGCAGA